GCCTGGGACCTGAGCCCTGGGCAGTGGGTGCAGGAGGCCAGGAGATTCGTGGAGTCAGACGGTCTTGTTCCGTCCCGGCCGTGCCACTAAATCACCTTGGACAGCGACTTGTCTTCTTTGAGCTTCAGTATCAACCATAACGTGGAGTAATGGCGTCCTTCCCACAGGGTGGTTGCAAGGATTAAATCAAAGGGCTTATGGGAAGCTGTCCGTCCAGTGCCTGGGCGTGAATCCCACACTTCCCGGCCCTGCTCCCCATGGACCAGAGATGGCTGTGCGCCCCGGCCCAGCTGGCAGGTGGGGGCCGGGGGAGGAGCCTCGCAGGCCTGGCAGTCGGGCAAGGAAGCCCACTGGTCCTCCGGGGGCGACGCCTGAGAAGGAAGCTCACGCAGCCTTCTGTGCTCGCAGATGCGATGGGCCACTGTGGGGGCTGGCGGGGTGGGCGTGGGCACACTGTCGTCCCCCTGCCTCACAGGGACGGCGGCACAGGAACCAACAGCTTCCCTGGGCAGTGGCAGCTCACGCACTGTGGCCGGTCACTCTGCTGAAGACAGGGCATGGTCCCCAAGCAGGAGACAGACTGAAGGGAAAGGGAGGGGTTGGGGTGTGACCATCCCGGGAAGGGGTCAAGGGCCACTCCAGCTGCTCTTTGGGAGCCAGAAACAAGAAAGGACGCCTGGAAAATAAGCTGCCAGTGATTGGCGCCCAGGTCACACGAGCTGTCCCCCACCCTGGGAGTGGCCTTGCTGTCCTGCTCAACAAGTGAGGAAATGGGCCCAGAGAGTTCCGAGAACGTGCTCGAGTCCCCGCGGCGAGCAGGTGTCAGAGCTGCAAGTCCGGTGCGTGTGTTTCTCACACAGCATCGCCAAACCGAGGGGACTTCAGGGCCCTTCCAGGGCCCCTACACCCCACGCTCCTGAACAACCGTTGTTATGCCTCGTTTTTAAAATTTCCTCCTTTGGTTCATTCCCTCTTTGTCGTTGTTCAAACTTAGGCATTAAAGGGGGAGGTAGGGTGACATGCCCCCGAGACCATCGGCTGGAACGGGCTCAGAGGAAAATCCCAAAGAGGGAAACAAACTCCAAGGCGGCTCATCGTCTGTGAGCAGTGAAGTGTCGGGGCTGACGGGGTGAGTCCTAGAGCCTCAAAGTCCCCATTCAAGTCCTGGAGCCACCACTTGGTGACCTTGGGCAGATCGCCTCGCCTCTCTCTGCCTCAGTTTCCTCTCCCTGAAGTGAAGTAGAAACTACTAAAGCTACAAGGAGTCGGTGCCCCATGGGGCTGGGGCTACTTGGCGGTGTCCAACGGGTGGCAAGCACAGGTCGCCAATTAGCTGGATTGTGAATCCTCCTTCGAGAGTTGTTGCTTTATTTTGTTTTTTGTTCACAGCTTTTTTTTGACGGAGGAAGGTAAAAAAATAGACAGACATGGTCAAATGCATAAGGCCATTGGGCTTTCATCGACATGAGGACCAAATGAGTCAAGAAGGAGAAACAGCACAGGTCGGGGGGCGGGGCTGGTCTGGGGAGGCTTCTGGGAGTGTCAAGCAGGTTCTGGGGACAGTTTGGTGACAGGTGGGAAAGGCTGAGACCTCAGGGAAAGTGAGGGGTGGGGCAAGCATATAAGCAGAGAGGATGGGGCAACAAACCCCCCTGACTGGGCACCTGGAGATGCAGCCAAAAGCTGAGCTGGAGGCAGGCGTTCGGTGGACAGTGTCATAGTGAGGCCGAGTGGAAGGGCCATCGTCTGTGCAGGGTCTGCTGGGTGCCACAGTTGTCCCACAAATAATGTCACCCTTACAGCAGCTCCGGACGTGCCTGCCTGTGGCAGTTGGGGACACCAAGGTCCAGAGATGTGCCTCAACCTGCCTAGTAAGTGGGCCGGGATTCGGGTCTTAGCCTTCCTGGTTCCAAACTACCCAGGCCACACTCTGGCTGGGACAGTGACAGAGGCCCTGCTTCAAGGAGCTGGAAAGCCTGCCTTGTAAATCATCTGTCATCCCACAGCTCACTGAGGTCACTGCCCTCCCAGACACCACCACCCCCCGCCCCCCACAGCTCTGGGTAGACTACCCAGATGACCTGGCAGCATCCCACAGAGCTGGGCCTTCTGGCCTCTCAGAGCTTCCATCACAAGCTACAGGCGTGGAGGAGCTTGTCTGAGCAAGGGGGGCCCAGCAGATGCCTTCCCAGGCCTCTGCATTGCAGTCTGGGCTCAGGGGACCACTGTTTGCCTGACGGGCCTGGAGAACAGGACTGGCAGGGGCCTGTGGTATGGGGAGCTCCCAAGAGCACCCTGGACTTTCTCGGGTCCCAGATCTGAGCAGAGGGCAGGCTGCGCTTTCCACACATACTCTTCCAAGAGCTAAAGGCATCCTCTCTGGTCCAGGGCGCTGGACCTGCCCTGGCCATTTCAGAGCCGAGCTCCAGCTGGCTTTGTACGGTCTCTGAGGGAACTGGTCCGTGAGTGGGTGAGTAGCTGACCCTTCTCCAGGGCCCACGCAGGTCTCCCAGCCTTCCCTGCCCCGTGCCGGGGGTGGGGGGTGGGGGGTGGCGATGTCTGGAGAACCGGCCCTGCAATCCTGCGGGTCCCTGCGGCTCCTCTCGGCCGGGGCCCACGCAGCAGCAAGTTTCTGCCACGCTGCGGCCGCACCTGCTGCGTTCCTAGTGAAGCCAAAGCTGTGGCTGGGTAAGAGGGAACTGGAGATGCAGAGCTGGAGGAGGGGGCTAAGAGAGGGTCTTCGGCCTGGCAGCATCGTCATATAAGCACGACACCTGTCCCGCGGGGCTGGTTCCCTCCACGGGCCGGGGCTGGCGGCTTTCCATTGTTTCCCCCTTGTCTGCCTCATTGTGTTGGCAGGAGCCCCTCTTGACCGCTCCTCAACTTCTTCCCCGGCTCCCCGGCCCCAGCCGAGTTCTCCACGAGGCTCTGGTTAGTAAGCCGGCCACTGCCAAAGAAGGGGGTATTTTCCTGGTGGGGTGGGGGTCGACCTCCGGACTCAGCCGGCGGGACGGCGTGGGGGGAGGCGGCAGGCGCGCGCCTCGCCGGCCCCGGCCCCCGCCGGCCCCTTTAAGTGGAGTTCGCAACCGGCCAGGTGCGGCGCTGCGTGGCGCGGTGCGGCTGCGGGCGGCGGCCGGGCGCTCCGTACGCGCCGCCCGCCGGACTGCAGAGCCGGCTCCCGGCTGGCCGCCCGCACCCGCCTGCAGCAGCCACCGCGGTTCCGCCGGCGCTTGCGGTCGCCCAGGAACATGGAGGCGCCGGGTGCCCGTCCGGAAGGGTAAATCGGTGTCAGGGCGTTGGGCTGCGCGTGCCGCTCCACTGCCTGGGCTGCGGCGCCCGGAGGCGCTGCGGGGCGCCGGGCGCAACCTGCGGCGCGGCGGGCTGGGGCTGAGTCCTGGGCGGGCGAGCCACGGCTGGGCCGGGGAGGACCGGGGGCTGGCGCCCGGCGGGAGGAGACGGCACCGAACCGGCTCGGGGACCCTCCGGGCTGCGCGCGGCGCGGGGCGGAGGATGGGAAGTGCAGCCACCGCACAGCTGCGTCTGGTAAATAGCGCCGGGTGGTGGGACCCGAATCGCTTGGGACGGTGGGCTGCAGGCTCCCCTCCGACTCGGAACCAGCACGGCTTTGCGGCCAAGCAGGGCTTTTCCGCTTCCCCGGGGCGGCGGACTGCCGCGGAGCCCCCGCGCTCCGGGGAGGCTCAGATCTGGGGCGGCCGGCTGCTCCGCGCCCCCAGAGTTCAGGCTTCCGTGTTTGCGGCGGTGATGCAGGTTCGGTGGTCCCTTGGCTGGAGCCCTGAGGGCGAAAGAGCCGGGGTGCGCTCGGCCCGCAACAAGACCCCCCCCCCCCCGCCACGGACCGGGCAGGAGGGGGTTAAGGTGTCTCTGGATGCCACGGGCAGCCGGTGGTCTGGGCCGCCAGCTCGCAGCGGGGCGAGGAGCGCGCGCGGCAGAATCCCAGCTGCAGCCCCGGACGCTGGGGAGAGGGCCTAGACCCCTGCCCGCCCCCGGACCGGCAAGGCCAGCTCGGCAGCCGGCCTCCTCCCGGCTCTCCTCTTGCTGCCAAGCCTGACAGCCAGGCTGCCTGAGCATCCGTTCTGCCCGCCCTGCCCAGGAGATGGGAGGGATTTTTCTGTTGGGGAGAAATCGGTGGTCCAGCGCCTGCCCTTTCACCTGCCAGGCTCCCACGGAGGAAGGCCTGCAGCCTGGGGATACCCGAGGGCGACTCAGCCCTGGGTCCCAGCCAGCCAGCTTTGCAGAGGCGACCTTTCTGTGTGAGGAGTCTCCCTGGATGAGCTCTAAAGGAGTGTGTTGGGCGTCTGTGGGGACTGTCCTCCCTCCAGCACCCTGCGGAGGTCAGAGCTTGTAGTAAGCTGCAGTGGAGGAGGCTCTTCCCCTTCCAGACGCTGTGTCCTGACCTAGGACTGGGAGGGCTTTGGCCAGAGTCCCTCTTGCTGGCTGCTGAGGACCAACAGGGGATCTGGCTCAGCCCAGGGAGGCCCCTGGAGAGGCAGGCCCAGCCAAGCCGGGAGGCTTGTTCCTGGGAGAAAAGGCTTCCAGCTGATGGAAGCCTGCCCAGATGAGGCTGGAAGGCTGAGGGGTAGCCTCAGGTGTGACTCCAGTGGGAATGGAAGGCACATGGAAGGGAGGCTGCCAGAGCCCTCCTAGCGCTTGGCAGCGGCTGCCTGAGAGCCCCGGTTCCGCCTGGCTGCTGCTTTTCCAAGCAGCGTTGCACCTCCTGAGGACAGCCAGGAGGACTCCAGCTTTTGCTGACCTTTGCATCTCGCCTCCTTCCTTCCAAAGGTTCCAGACCCAAGTGCAGCTCTCCTGGAATCCCACGTGCCCCTGCAGCCCACCCAGACCCTGAGCTCACCTCCAGGACCTGGAACCTGCCCTCCTGCCCAGAATGACTCACCATTATTTCTAGCTCAAGCGTGGAGACGTGATGGGGAGTCAGGCTGCCTGTTTGTGTAGCTAGGATTCCCTCACCATCTAATCAGCTCTGCAAGGGAGAGAGCTCTAGAAGACCCCTGCCTTGCCAGGTAAATCGGTCTGTTATTTAATAGCAGCCACGTGTAGTTGTTGCGGTGGGCACACTGCGGGAAACCCAGGTCCAAGCCCTGTTACTGGGAACACTTCCCAGGGTGCAGGGATCTGAAAGGCATCACTTCAGCGCCCGCTGGATGGCTCTCTTCCAGCCTCCAGAATTGGACTGTGTGCCTCCATGTGGTGGGTGCAGAGGGGCCGGTACTTCCCCTTACCCCCAGGGCAGGGCATCCCAAAGCGTTCTTGAGGAGACTTCTAGCTGCTCCTCCCCTGTAAGCCCCAGCCAGGGTGTAAGGTGAAATTCAGTTGTGCTTGTCAGTGGTGGCAGTCATGCTTCTGAACTCTTGTCTAGGAGACAGGGGTGAGGGCACACACTGGCAACCCCAGCCGGGCTGCCAGTGTGGAGTGGTCTCATGTCTTTAACTGCCTCTGTCTTTCAGCCAAGCTGTGCCACTGGCCCTCAGGGAGCCCTCTGGGCTCTCCAGCAGGAGCCAGGCCCATGCTCCCGTGTGCCCCGAGGCCATCAGCCGCACCTTGAGCTCTCTGCCACCAGGCATCTGGAAGGCGTAGCGTGAGGAGCTTCTCTCAGTCCCAACTATGACTGTGGCCACCGGAGACCCAGCGGACGAGGCTGCTGCCCTCCCTGGGCACCCGCAGGACACCTACGACCCAGAGGCCGACCACGAGTGCTGCGAGAGGGTGGTGATCAACATCTCAGGGCTGCGGTTTGAGACCCAGCTGAAGACCTTAGCTCAGTTCCCAGAGACCCTCTTGGGGGACCCAAAGAAGCGGATGCGGTACTTCGACCCCCTGCGAAATGAGTACTTTTTCGACCGGAACCGCCCTAGCTTTGATGCCATTCTCTACTACTACCAGTCCGGGGGCCGGCTGAGGCGACCCGTGAATGTGCCCTTAGACATATTCTCGGAAGAAATTCGGTTTTACGAGCTGGGGGAAGAGGCGATGGAGATGTTTCGGGAAGATGAAGGCTACATCAAGGAGGAGGAGCGGCCCCTGCCCGAAAATGAGTTTCAGAGACAGGTGTGGCTGCTGTTTGAATACCCAGAGAGCTCGGGGCCCGCCCGGATTATAGCTATCGTGTCGGTCATGGTGATCCTGATCTCCATCGTCAGCTTCTGCCTGGAGACGCTGCCCATATTCCGGGACGAGAACGAAGACGTGCACGGCGGCGGGGTGGCCTTCCACGCCTACTCCAACAGCACCATCGGGTACCAGCAGTCGACCTCCTTCACCGACCCCTTCTTCATTGTGGAGACCCTCTGCATCATCTGGTTCTCCTTCGAGTTCCTGGTGCGGTTCTTCGCCTGTCCCAGCAAAGCCGGCTTCTTCACCAACATCATGAACATCATCGACATCGTGGCCATCATCCCCTACTTCATCACCCTGGGGACGGAGCTGGCTGAGAAGCCAGAGGATGCCCAGCAGGGCCAGCAGGCCATGTCGCTGGCCATCCTCCGTGTCATCCGGCTGGTAAGAGTCTTTAGGATTTTCAAGCTGTCCAGACACTCCAAAGGGCTCCAGATCCTAGGGCAGACCCTCAAAGCCAGCATGAGAGAGTTGGGCCTCCTGATCTTCTTCCTCTTCATCGGGGTCATTCTCTTCTCTAGTGCTGTCTATTTCGCTGAGGCTGATGAACGAGACTCCCAGTTCCCCAGCATCCCGGATGCCTTCTGGTGGGCAGTCGTCTCCATGACAACTGTAGGCTATGGAGACATGGTCCCGACTACCATTGGGGGAAAGATAGTGGGTTCCCTGTGTGCCATTGCAGGTGTGTTAACCATTGCCTTACCAGTCCCCGTCATAGTGTCCAATTTCAACTACTTCTACCACCGGGAGACAGAGGGAGAGGAGCAGGCCCAGTACTTGCAAGTGACCAGCTGTCCAAAGATCCCGTCCTCCCCTGACCTAAAGAAAAGTAGAAGTGCCTCTACCATTAGTAAGTCCGATTACATGGAGATCCAGGAGGGGGTCAACAACAGTAACGAGGACTTTAGAGAGGAAACCTTGAAAACGGCCAACTGCACTCTGGCCAACACAAACTATGTGAATATCACCAAAATGCTAACCGATGTCTGATCGCAGCCTAGTCACACGCTCGCAGTTCAATGGGACTAAGTGCAGACACTGCGTACGAGCCTGCGTCCTAGTCAGTCCGTCCCACCGTGTCTCTGGTTCTGCATGGAGAGCCATAGTCGTGCAAGTGACTTTTGAACTTTCAATTTTTTTTTTTGGTCTAGAACACAGAGTAGCTATCCATGGCTCTCACACGAACCTTCATCACCGGTTGAGGGGTTTCCAAAGATGGGGAGTCGCCAACAGAGCCAGGATTTGAGGCCACCTCATAGCACATACGTCACCTGCCATGTGAGATCCACCTTTCCTTCCTGATTCGATGCACGCAACACAGTGCCCAACAGGTGCACCCCCGCCCCCACCCCCACCCATCTGAGTCCACCTGCACAGAGGAGAACCACGGTAGCTTAGCTTTAAAGCACTGGTAATTACTGGAGAGGTCATCCCCATGCTGCATTAGAGCGCACGGTCCCATGTGTCGGAATTCCTGTCTCTGTCCCAGGCTGGGGTCTGCGAGTCGCAGCTGCCGAGTATATGCTCCAGAGGCTCATGTTTCATAATGGAAAATGCTGCATTTGATTTTTTTTTTTCTCTGCAGTGTCGATGAGAGGGAAGCCCGGGTGGGGGAGGGACAGTTAGTGTGACCGATGTGAGTCGTCAAGTTTCACATTTGCTCCCGGAGGCCTGTGGGGAGAAGCTGACCAACCCAGGGACCTCTCCACTTCAGATCTCACCACTTTCGCAGGCTTCAGGGTCACAGAAGCACCTCCCGTCTCCGCGGGACACGGGGGTTTGCAGACGTCTGCTTGCCCAGCGCTGTGGGCCAGCCACAGGGACGCTGCAGTGACATTTCCCAGTGATGCAATCGAGCTGCATGGGTGTTTGCTGCATGACTCTCAATATTTAAAACACAGGAGATAACCTATTTTCTTAGTAGCCTATACAGTATTCACATGTAGAGTATTAAAGCCGAGGAGTGGCATCGAACTAGGGTTTTTTTCCCATCAGAAGATAAAAGCCCTCGGTCAGGAGAAAAAAGAGGCTATTGGGAAGGGGGACCCAAAACTTCTGGCCCCCCAGCCCTCCCCATACCTGTTCTTCCGGATGGGGGCACAGACCTCCGCAAAGCCAGGAGAGTGGGCGGGGCGGCAGTGCCTGAACACCTCACTGCCCCTTAGGAGTTAACTGAGCCGCAGGCGCGACTGTGCAGCCGACTAGGGCGTCTGGTCCCGAGGAAGGCGGATCTGTGGATCCTATGTATATATCTATATATACCTATATATATCTCTATATAAATATACATCAAGTGTCTCCTTCCCAAGCTCCTCTACCCAGCAAGCTCTAGAGACAATTGTATTCGAACCTTGTATAAGCTGATGCAATATTTTTGACACAGGGCAATTGACGCATGTGCCGGACTATGTGCACTATCGTGTGTGTGCATATGTACACGTATACATATGTGTGTGTACGTTTCTATGCACACACACTCACATATATCTTCACTCTCGGGAGTTTGGGTTCTGGAGCAGATCCACTGCTCGGTGGGCTGGTTATCTAAGAGGCCTCTCGGTTCATCGATCTCATCGGTGACCCCCTTGGGCCTGGGCTTGCTGCCGTCACCTCAGACGCTCCAGTCTCCACGGACTCTTAGACGTTAGAATTGTCTTCTGCCCTCCACGTGCTGCAGCTTCGGTCCCCGTGGCTGAGGCTTGTCTTACTGAGCGCACTAGGCCCATCCCCACCCCCCTCCCCCGCCTTGTGGCTCCCGCTGTCCTGGGCCAGCCCCACCCCAGGCCTCCCCTCCAGTCCCTCATGGTAACAACCATCTCTCTCCTCCTCTGTCCCCACCCCACTCGGTTTTCATTGTCATTGGCTCCACATCAGTCACTTTCAGGAACCTTCCCCTAGAGGGCTAGAGTGGATCACCTGCCTTGAAACCAAGGACACCAACGAGGAGGGCTTCCGGGCACCTGATCCCACAGGTCTGGACTTGAAGGGGTCCTCCCCTCGGGGGGAACTTCCAAAGCCCAGGACCAGTGGGGCAGAGTCCCTGGATGAGCCGCAGGCATCATTTGGATGGACAGGCCCATCCACTCACTCCCTACTAAATTGGCAACCAGTGCCGCTTTGGGCAAACCAGAGGATGGGTGGAGAAGCGGTCCCCACCCCCGGCAGAGGTTGGGAGTGGCTGAGCCCCACACGGCCTGCAGGCCACGTGCAGGCTGGCCCCAGAAAGGGTGAGGTGCAGGGCTCTGCTGCTCGGCCCAGGGTTCTTTGCCTTCCAGTATAACAGCTGAAGTTCCCCAGACATGGGGAGCTGTGTGGTCGGGCTGCCCAGCTATGGGCCAGCCCCAGTCTCACAGTCGGCTGTTTGGTACCTACAGTTACCTTGGGGGTGGGGCACCAGCTCAGGGTGCTAGGCCCAGGGTGCTCATTAGTTCCTGGTCACCCACATCCCCAGGTGTCTGCAGGGTGTCCCAGGCCCAGGGCACAGCCTCTGTGCTTCTCTTCCTCTCCTCATGGGAGGTGGTGCTGAATTGCCAAGACATGGGGCGGGAGGGACCCAACTCCTACCTAAGGCCTAGGTCAAGGGTGGCGACTCTTTCCCCGCGTCCTAGGCTCACCACTCTAAAATATTCACACAGGCACACCTGCATGCACACCCACCCCAAAGAGCCGCATCATTGCCACGTACACAGAGACAAAGCACGCAACACGCATGCACAATACAGAGAGACCAAATTTGTGAGAAGGGCGTACACAGAACATACGTGGTCACACCCAGGTTATGGGTACCTGGCACGGACCCAGAGTGGACTCACTAATACAGAACACAGACAAAGGCCCACACACACCAAGTCAAAGGCGTGACCTGCAACCCAGGTGCAGCAAACACAAACTGCAGGAGTGCAATGAGTCTGCCTACAGAATGCAGAAAGGGCAACTTGCTCTTGCTTCTGCATGCAAAATACACGCAGGTTTAAACACACATCACATTGACTCGTACGAGGCACACAAGTTGCAGCATGCACAACCGAGGACACACAATCCACACGGCATGTGTACGCACACTCAGATCCACGGCTCTGCCCCCAGACCTATAAATGAATAGGCACAAACAGAAGATCAGATTTATTTTTTTCAGATTTTGTTTATTCATTTTTAGAGAGAGGGGAAGAGAAAGAGAACGAGAGGGAGAGAAACATCAACGTGTGGCTGCCTCTCATGTGCCCTGTACTGGGGACCTGGCCTGCAACCCGGGTATGTGCCCTGACTGGGAATCGAACTGGTGACCCTTTGGTTTGCAGGCTGGTGCTCAATCCACTGAGCCACACCAGCCAGGGCAGAAGATCAGATTTAATCATCTTTCCCTAGCCTGCATCTATACCCAGTATCCTTCAAGAAATTTCTGTTTCTAGTCTCTTCTCTCCCATTCACCCCCAGTTTTCACAGACTTAAATCATTTAAATCATTCCCCAAGATTTAAAGCAGAAAGGCCACCCATTATCAAAAAGATCTCTGATTAAAACTGGGAATCTCATGGGATCTCTACTTATTCACCTTCCTCCCACCAGAAACCTGGGTGCAGCGTGTGGAAGGACCTGGGACAGCGAGTGGTCTTTTGATACAGCTCCTTGCCATCTGCCCTCCTTCAAAGCCAGTCCACACGGAGGGCCCAGTAGCTCCGGCTCCCCAGCTCCCAGCCCCTGGGATCTCTCAATTCCATTCTGTTAAAAGCAGTGATAGTTCAAGAAACTGCAGAGTCCTGGGCCCAGAACCACAGTGGAGATGCCCCAACATGTTCTCAGTCCATAGACCCTATTGCCCCTTCAGCTCCGTGGCTTTGTGGGGACCCGGTCAGAAAGTCGCACCACGTATACAGATTTACCTCTTAAAATGAGCCCCCTTCACTTGCTTGTGGCGTCTCACTTGCTCATGGGCATGAGCCCCAGGGGGTCAACTCCCAAGTCCTCTCTGGGGAGTGTTCCACCCTGGGCGTGCCCCTCCCCCTCCGCCTGGCTCCACCCGGGCGCCCTGCCTCCCACCCGGTCCTTGCGCCTTGAGGAAATGCACACCAGTCCAGCTTAAGTAAAATGTGGTTCCAGACATGAACCTAATGCTACACAAGCAAACGACACCAGTGTTTTGAAAGGGTCTGATTTTGATCCTATAGTCTAAGGCCTGGTTTAAATGCTTTGGAAGATGACTCACTGTTTTGGGTTGCTCGCGGAGCCAGGCCCTCCCACCGGGAGGACTGGCTGGGCTCTGGGTACGTTTTGGAAAAGGCTTCCCCTTCAATGGAAGTTGGGGTTTGAAGTCAGGTGTCAGATCAGGCATCATGGTCTGGACTCCTGTAGGCATGTGCCAGCCTTCTCCTGGCAGTCACAGCTCCGCGTCTCCAGGGAGGAAAGCAGGGGGGGCCAGGGGTGTGGGTCCAGACTTGCTCGTTTTGTGCACCATCCTGGCCTTTCAAGTACTTCCAGGCCGAGACAGCAATCTTCCCTTCAGCATCAGCAGTGCTTCCGCAGGGTCAACCTTTCAAGAAGGTTGGAGTTCTCGGGAGGCTGAAGAGAGGAGGTTCAGGAAAGGTGGGCAGGTCGTCAGGAAGAGAGGGTGACTGGGCTGGTCCGATTTCAGAGTAGGCTCTTCAGGAGCCGAAATTTAATGAAGGACAGAGTTAAGCCTTGGTGCTTCCGTGGTGTTTGACGCTGTCTCCTCCCTCCTCTCTGCTGCCTCCCCCTGCCCCTCTCAGCTGGGCTCCTGAGGACGGAGTAGGAGTATCACCAGGAATGTAGCCTTTTAAAAGGGTGACCGCCCCGGGGGAGGTGTCTCCAGACACCATCAGCTGATGTGGAAAGGCATTCCATGACGGCAGAGCTGGCTGGAGTCCCTAGCCCGGAGGCCCTGTATGGGGAGCGCCCTAGAACTTGCTTGTCCTGTCCTTTCCGGACCTGTCAACACCACCGTAGTGAAGTCTTTGGCCAACTGACCTCCTCATGGTCTGCCATAAATATCGGGGCCAAGCCATGCGGAGAGTCTTAGGCTAGGGGGTTCAGTGTCGCCCACGGTCATACAGATGAGAGAAAATACTGACTTTCTGCAAAGGAAACTATAGGACACTTAGCAAATGCCACAGGAGGCGGCCCTGTACCCCCCCATGTCGGGCAGGAAGAACACAGGGCTTTGAATTGTTAACCCAGGAGTGGGGACGGGGAACCTTGCTCCTGTTCTGGCTCCCCTGGGGGTCATTGCTGTGAGCCTTCCTCTGGGGTCCCCGCCTGGTCTCAGAAGGCAGGTCCGCGTGGGCTGTGATGCCCAGGGTGCTCCTTGGCAGAACAATGGAGGGCTCCCCTGGCCTTGGCAGAGTGGCCATTGATA